TATATATATATATATATATATATATATATATATATATATATATATATATATATATATATATATATGAATCCAAATATGTTAAATCACTTGCGTTATAATCTTCTACATTCTGATTTTTTTTTGTTTCATCATTTGACTTATCTTTTTAATGTAGCATCTAGACCAAATGAGTTTAAATAGGAATAATCTGACCTAATACCTTAAATATTTAATTTTTTACCAATCTATTATGAATTATTGTTGTGCATTCGCAACATCTCCTTTCAACGAATCGTTCATCGCTTTTGCATATTTGTATAGATGTTTGACAGCATGTTTTACCTTGATTTTATGTTTTTTTTTGGAAAATGTGAGTAAGAATAGTTCATAGCGCTACAGTACAATCACTAACCACATTGGTCAAAACTTCCTCAAAATAGCTTCGTTTTCGCATGCCATGATTTGTTTTCTACAAACCACAGTTGTACATGAAACGTCAGTCATCTCAGACCCTTGGAACCCCTCGGGTGACACAGGAGTGGATGAGACTTGGGGATAGTATTGGTATTGATCGATATATACAAGTTCGCATATTAACTTGACGGAAACTTGTCATCGCCCTCGATACCCGATGAGCAGCCATTTGTAGACTTATAAACTATTTGTTCTGCCTTCGAAAGTCCTTATTTTCTCCTTCATCTTTTTTTTCTTTTGTACTCAAAGTGTTTGCTAAATTGTTTGTAAAGCTTCCTTCTTCGCAAGACGTCAATACTTGTCTGTTACTCGCTTCGAACTAATTAATTTACTCTTTTTACAAGTCCTACCGAACCTGAGCGAAGTTGTAAATTTGTTGACCCTTTGCAAACACATATCGCAAGGTCACATCATGACTTAGGCAATCCTAGCTAAGTCCGAAAAGTTAGTGCAAAAGTGTTTCACAACTTAGGCAACTTAAACTAAGTCTGTGACTATGCCGTAAGAGTATCTCATGACTTATGCAATTACAGCTAAGTTAAACTGACACTTTAATTATAAATTTTGGTGGAAAGCTGATTTAGTTGTATGATAATTGATTTGTCAACTTGGTACAGATTTTAATGAGAATTGATGTGTATTATTTGCTAAACTTGAGGCTTTAGCACAGATCAGAACATGACAGTCGAATTCACTGCATTCATGTATGTGATTCTACTTGGTTTGGATTGCAGCTTACTAAATCAGCACAACTTTGTACATGCAAGAACAAATTATATGTTCCTCCAATTTCAATTGCATGAAGATGAAGTAATTACAACCCCACACACACCCCACCGGCCAGCTTATTATCTACGACGAGTACTACAACGATACCATCTCCCAACTCTTAGCTAAATGGTGCGAATTAAAAGCATCGAGCAGCCTACAATTAAGTGGAAGATTCTTATGAGAATAATCGCAACGCAGATTGCGTCTCTTCCTATGTTGGAAAAAGAAGAATTAGTTTCGAGTTCAATTAGGAGAAAAAAATTTTACTCAAAAGAGGCCTCTCAAATAGACGTGGCAAATTACTACACACCTAAAGATCACCATTGCACTTCTCTTGGGACAGCTGAAGAACAGCCTAATTAATTGATAGTCTGTCAAGCTATTCCAACAACTGTGGAGATATTTGAAGGCAGTGAAGCTGTTCATAGAGTTTCAATCTTTTTCAAATATCCAAAATTCATCTCCTATCTGAATCTCAGTTAGCCGAACTGATCTGATCCACCGTCGGACTCGATCGATTACAATATTTTTCAATATCGTTACTACGTCTTTTACATGGAGTTGTAATATTTTAGTTTCGTAATAAAAAATTATAAATTTTATTACTAAATCCCAAACGAAGGGCTGTAAGATTAAGTCATGCTGATGAACCAAAGGGCTGTAAGATTAAGTCATGCTGATGAACCCAGGAGTCAAAATCGATACTGTTACTCTAATTTGAGGGCTAATTATAGATTATTCTGGTTACGTATAATATCTCTTTTTTTTTATAAGCTTACGTATAGTATCTCGATTGATATATTTTAAAAAGTTATATTATCATTTCTATAGTTAAGAAAGTAGTTTATTTAGGTTCATTTACACTACGACTTTAATTTTATTGGTAGAAATATAAAAATAAAAAATAAAAAATAATTTTAACATTCGATGACGGATAATATCGGTGGCGGTAAATGACGATATCATTGGTGCCGACGCCAATGTAGTTGT